CCTAGAAGTCACCAGATGTTGTTAACCCCTTTCATCGGTTAAACTACTACTTGATGTTAAGAGATGTATATAAACATATCTTAAAATTACATTGGTAACAAGTTTACCAGTAGTATCTAAGCAGTAGTAAAATTATCAAATGGAAAGGGAAAATCCTTGATGATCTTACTCTCTGGAAATGATGCCACTGTTAAAAGTTTATTCTATATTGTTCCAATTGTGTGTGTGTGTGTGCGCATACATCAAATGTTACACACAGGCATAGGCATATATGTGCGTGTGCATGTACAGATATGCATAGAGAAATAGCTGCGGGCTGGACACGGTGGCTCATGCCTATAATCCTAGCACTCTGGGAGGCCTAGGCAGGAGGATCGCTTGAGGCCAGCCTGAGCAAGAACGAGACCCCATCTCTACTAAAAAAATAGAGAAAAAATTAGCTGGGCGTGGTGGCCCACGCCTGTATTCCCAGCTACTGGGGAGGCTGAGGCAGGAGGATCTCTTGAGCCCAGGAGTTTGAGGTTGCTGTGAGCTAGGCTGAGGCCACGGCACTCTAGCCCAGGTGACAGAGCGAGACTCTTGTCTCTAAAAAAGAAAAAGAAAAGGAAAAGGAAATAGCTGCAGAGATATTTGACCATAGAAGGAGTTGTCTCGACATCTTTTCATATCACACATGTTGTCCACTTTTAATTGGTCCATTGCTTTCCTTTTATCTGTATTGATTTTTTAATTAAAAAAATAATAGAGGCCTGTTTTACTATATTCAACACTGCATAGAAAGCAGTGGAGGCTCCTCAGTTTGGTGTCATTAGCAGTTGCTCAGGATGTTGTGGAATGTTTTTTCCACGATCTTTAATTCTTCCCCCGTTAAGGGATTTGCTGTTAAAGGATTTGCATTGTTCGCTTTCTATTTTTTATTGTTACAAATAATGGTGCGACATACAACCCTATACATAGATCTTTGGACCCCGATGCAAATTCTCTGTGCAAATTCCTAAAAGAGGAATTAAATTCAAGTCTCTTTCCCCCTGGCCTATTCCCCAGCTACCGTTAACGAGCAGAAGACACATTTTCCTCCAAAAGGGAAAAGTCCTGAGTTCAAAAACCTTCTAGATCATTCTGTCATTCTGAGCAAACCTATGATCATCGATACCTCTGACTCGCGCTTGGTCTGATCTCGTCCCGTGTAGTCATGTACTGCACCGACCCCGGAGAGGTGGACCACTCGACCCGCTTAATTTCGGACCCCGTGCTGCTGGTGGGGACCACCATCCAATACACCTGCAACCCCGGCTTTGTGCTTGAAGGGAGTTCTCTCCTGACCTGCTACAGCCGCGAAACGGGGACTCCCATCTGGACGTCTCGCCTGCCCCACTGCGTTTGTGAGTCCTGTTCATTGACTTGGGCCCCCAGTACAGACGCAGGTTCACGCCCTCTTAGTCACAATGCAGGGCTGAGCTGCCAGGAGGGGGCATTCTACTTTGGGAGGGGGTGCTTTTATTATTACTACTACCACGCAGCAATCGCTAACACTGATTGGGAGCGCTGATACTACAGCATTTACGGTAAGTTTATCACGCATGGCACTCAGTCCTCCACCAAATTGCCCTCTTTTCTTCCTCCAGTAACCCTGGGAGTATGTGTATCATTGTCTTCATTTTAAGAAGAGGATACTGAAGTTCAGAGAGGCGAAATCATGGACCCAGGTCACACAGCTAGTTAGTGGCAGAGGCCTGATGCAAACCCAGACCCTTTTAAAAGCTCCCCGCAGGGGATTCGGATGTACAAGCAGGGTTCACAACCACTGCTTAAAGAAAGCATGAGGTTATATGGAAAGAACGGAGCTCTCAACAGTATTCAGGGTCTAGAAACGGTTAGCCGCGCTCAGATTTTAAATTAGTGCGCTGTGAGCAGCTCCGTTAGGGATGCAGCTGGCTCGGACTCCAGAGGCCACACGGAGGTCTTGACAGTGTTGGAGAACGAAGAATTTCAGTTTAGGGAAAAAAGGAAATAGAATTGCAGGAGGTTTATGGTAAGTTCACCTACATCCAACGTGAGTAACACTGAGTACAGTTTGCGGGCTTGGCGTTCTCCTACGGCAGCTGTTTCGCAACTTCCCACAACCACCCACAACTGGCTTCTGGAACGTTGCTGGCCCCGCTAACAGCAGGGCACCGTTGCCATGGGCGGAAGCCACCGCTGTTGCAAAGCAAGGAAGTCCTTGTCCTTTGCCACTAGATAAGCTAATACTTACTGAGCACTTGCTGTATGCCAGACACATTGCTGAGCGCATTATATGTGTTCATAAACACATGTGCGTGCATGTGTACATATATACTTTTTATGTATGTACGTGCATATATGTATATTATGGAAACTAAGGTTCAGAGAGGAATATGGGCGGCAACAGTTATCATTCACTGAATGTGTAAGACACACTTACACACACAGTGTATATATCTGCGAATGCGTGTATGTGTATACACACTGTCTACAACTATAGCTAAATCTATATTTAGTATGAACTGAGACTCAAAGGGAAATGTGATACTGGTCACAACAGTCCTTCGTGGACAGAACTGGGATTCAAACTCAGGACTCTGGTCTCCAAGTCCTCCGCCCCTAGGCCAGCCACACCCCCACCATCGTTTAACCATGGGTGACAGGGTACAAACCCATACAGGGACACCCCAGTGGAATTTTAGCCTATGGCCCTGATCCCTTAACCACAGCGATGCCTGTCCCCAGTCCCCAGACTTAGGGGCCGAGTCCACACTGGTTGGTTCCTACTGTGGGTTGAATTATGTTCCCAGAAAGATACGTTGAAGTCCTAACCTCCCCCTCACCTCACTGCCCGTAACTGTGACCCTGATTGGAAATAGGGTCTTTGCAGATGTAACCAAGTTAAGATGAGGTCACACTGGATTAAGATGACCGGTGTCCTTGTAAGAAGAGGGAAATCTGGGCACAGACGGAGACACAGACGTGGGGAGAACGCAGTGAGATGACAGAAGAAGAGGCTGGAGTACGGCAGCCAGTAAGACACACTGAGGACTGCTAGCAGGTTCTAGCAGATGCCAGGACGAGGCAAGGAAGGATCCTCCCCTACAAGGGTCAGAGGGAGCGTGTCCCTGCCGATGCCTGGCTTTTGGACTTGCAGCCCCCAGAACTATGAGACAATAAGTTCATGTTTTCTAAGCCCCACCCCCACCCCAAATCGTCCCATGTTAATGGCGGCCTCAGGAAACGAGTAGAGATCCCCCCTCCTTCTAGCGACTGCGTGAGTGATCGGAGGCAGCTTCGGTAACTCAAGCTGCAAGAGACCCAGACGTGAAAAGCTAAAAATAAAAGCTTGTTTAAAAATACCGAAAGGTGGAGATCTCATTTTTTAAAAAGAAAAGGCACTTCGCTAATGAAGCCCAGCCCCCGAAGACCCTCTGGGCTGCGGCGGCTGCGTGAGTCTCCGCGTCGGCTCTGCGGTGCTGAGCTGAGACGGCTTCCCTGACACCCTGCTAATGAGTTCACGAGCCAAGTGGCGTGTCAGGAGACGCACGGGCCTCCCGAAAGCCGGGAGAAGAACCCAGCATGCAGCTGTGGTGGCGTTACAAGCAGGCAAGGCTGATGGGAGGCCACGCAGGAGACGAGAGGAGGGTCACATTCTGGCAGCGTGGCACTTGAGTGGGAGCGAGGCTGCAGTCTGGGTATTTTTAAGGATGAGGTCGTTAGGCATGAAACAGCTTTGAGATGTTTCGCCGTCTGAACAAAGGAAACAGATCCCATCTGATGAGCGCCTTTGGTGTGCCAACCCCTTCCCCAACATAAACATGCTCACCTTCACAAAACTGCACAGGTGGCATGTGTGTCCACTTAAAGGTAGACAAAGAAGGCCCAGAGAGGGTGAGCAGCTTTCTTGAAGTCACACAGCAGAAAAGAGGATCAGGATTCTAACTCAAGCCTGACTAAACCCAAAGGCATCTTCCCACCCCATTACTTTGCAGTTCAGCTTTTGTGCAAATCTTCAGGGCTTTAGAGTTGATGAAGAGCTTCCACCAACAAGCTCATGGAACAGGCAGAAAATTGTATAAGCTCTGCTTGTCTGCAGACTGTTGCCCAGCCACCTTCCCAAGCCCGTGCTTTGGCCCAGCTGGGACTCAAGGCCATGTCTTGTTACTCCCAGTCCATTTATCCCCGGGTACTTCAGGAACAGACAGTTCAGGCGTAGATAGACCTGTCTATTTCAGCGCTGTCCGGGTTTTGCAGTCACACACACCCCCAGCTCTGCTGGGTGATCTCGGGCAAGTAACTTGCCCTCTCTGGGCCTCAGAGCCCTCATCTGTGAAAAGGAATGATGTTCTGTACCAGGAAGTGTTGTCGGGTGCCACTCAGTCATTCAACAAGGCCTCCTGTGGGGCGGGGGCTGGGGGGACACACTAGGACAGAAGTTCCCAAACGTTCTCAACTCACAGCACCCTTAGCATATCAGGAATGTTTTCACAGATTTCCTGTGCCAAAATATCTAACAGTTCCATTCATTGAACAGTTAGGTCCAAACGGCTTAATGAGTAGTTACACCTTGACAACTTCGTAGCCGTTTGAAAAAGGAGCGCATGTAAATCGAAAGAAAAATAATGTTTTTCATTCTTAACTACTATGACTGTTCCAGAGTTGTATGTACCTGTCGAGCCAGGCAAAAACTCTCAAACTTGGGAATCGGATTGGACTCTCCCACCCCTCTCCTGTTCTACATTGATTTTGTCTCAATTCTTGCTTTTTAGCCCAGCAACCACAGAAAACCCAGCTTGGCAAAGATGGGGCATCATTGGAAAAAAAAGAAAGATAGCGCTACCTAATGTTAAACCTGTGAACTATCTCAAGCTAGTAGTTCGCAAGGGTCTGATAGATGTCATTGTGTTTCCTCAAAATTTTTAAAAGTCCTATAGCACCCCTGTGAGTTCCCGGTGGCAGCCTGGGGCATCTTGGTGCACAGTTTGGGAACCATGGTGGTAGTCCTTAGAAATACAGTAATGTATAGAGAGATAAGAATCACATTCATGTAGAGCCTACTGCAGAAGGGGGGTGTGGAGAGACGAGTCTGGGAAGGAAATAACAATGAATCTTCAGCATCACCTCCTCCAGGAAGTCCTCCCTGATTCCTTAGACTAGATTGTGTTTCTCTTCCCGGAGTTCCCATGGAACCTAGAGTTCTATCCTTCACACCCTCCCTGTAGCTGATTGAAATGATCTGTTTATCTGTTCATAGAATCAAACACATAACTCCCTTGCTAGAATTGTATCCAGTGGATCTTCGAATCCCCCAGGCTCCAGCAGACTCCACAAATGACAGTATTTGTTACTGTTACTATCATCGTTGTTGTTAACAAAACTAACGTTGTCTTCATGGCATCTTCCCACGTTGTTGCAACTTCCCCACTTGCATGGTAGATGACTCCTGAGGTTCCCACCCCGAAAACATAAACCACGCCACCAAAAGTCATCAGAATCTGACAAAATCCAGTGAGGGTTTTATGGTTGGCTCTCCAGGGAGGCACTTAGCTTGCTAAGAGACAGCGATTCCCCAAGAGGACCTGGCCCTTCAACAGCAGTCCCCAGAACACCCTGGATGTGAGACGCAGGGATTTCCTAGTCCGGACAGAGCCCGCAGATGCTTGTGGCCAGGTTGTGGCTGCGGTAAAAGCTTCGTTGATTAGCTATCCCCAGTGGCCACACCTGGGCCAGCACATCCGATTCTAGCTACATGCCCATCTGCATTTAGAAATTCCTGTCTCCGAGAAAGCAGTATCTCAGAGAAATCCATGACAGTCCCAGGGGACGTGGGTACAGGAAGGGCCCTTCGTTATAACAGAACCATTAAACGCACAGGCCTCAGGCTCCGGCAGGTCCAGGTTTACATCCCAGCTCTGCCCTCACCAGCACAATGACTTTGGACAAGCCAGTTTGCTCATGAAAAAGATTGGAAAATGAACGTGCCAACCATAAACATAAAAGCTTATAACGATGTGCCTGGCATATAGTAAGTGCTCAGTTAAGGTTGGTTGCTGGTTACCACTCGGTGTCAATGCTCCACCACTTGTGGGCTATATTAGGGAACCTGATTTTTGGCATTTTGATCAAATGTATTCCATTAATGTACATTTTTTTCTATGGTTAAAGAGAGCAGGAAAGTCGGGGGGGAATAGAAGTGAGGGTAGGTTTGTGATTATGTCTATAAGATCATCAGTCTAATTCACCCAAATTCCTGAGAGAGAAGAGGACGGAGTCCCACCAGTTGCAATCACCTTAGACCAGTTGTTTTCACCAGGGGAGATTTTGTTCCCCCGGGGACATCTGTTAATACAATTTCTAGAGACACGATTGGTTGTCA